CGCACCGCGGAAACGCCGCTCCCGCCCCCCCGGGGAGCCCCGACGGGGGCTTGGTTCTACCGGAACGACACCAGGACAGGGAACGGCTGGCGCCGTCTGGCCACCCGCTACGGAACCGGCCGATGCGGGGACAAAGCGTTCGCGAAACCAGGCCTTGAAAACATCGTTATTTTATAGATGGAGCCCCAGTACTGCTGTACTGCAGAGGACACAAAAGCTGCTGTGGTGAACGCGATCCCTACGCTGCTGCCAGAGAAAGAAGCACTGCCCGCGGGGGTCCGGCCTGGGGACAGTCCTGGAGGAGGCGGTTTATCCGACGGAGGCCATGATCACATCCACAGGGAGCTCCTCGCTGCTGCGGGCCGTGACCTGCATCGTCACCGTGTCCGTCAGGACGAGACGAGACCTGACCAGGAGGTCATGGCCACCCCGGAACACGCCTGGAAGGGAGAGTGGGAGGAGGGAGTGAGCGCGCTGCAGGCCACCCTCCCCTGCAAGCCTAAAATTGAACAGCACTGCTTGGCAAGGGCAGGTTTCCCAGAGGTAGTCTGGCCAATCCCCAGCACTGGGCCAGGAGAGACCCTCGAGCAGCACGTTTCTCACTCGTTATAACATACCTGGGCCTCTTACTACTGTAAAACTCATGAGAGCAAAGCGTAAAATAAACTCTAGCTGATAGGAGATCCAGGCACTTCTTCAGTGACTACCAGCTCCAGCGCATATCCCTTTTGCTGGGACTTTTGCCCACACAGGCTCCCTCCAAACCAGGTGCCACAGGCCATGAAGACAGCAAACTGCACCCAGCAGAGCCTGGGGCTGATCCCAACACCCTCCACACCACAGCACCCTCCCTGATCACCAGCTGCTTGACACTTGCTGAGACATAAACCATGGTAAAGCCTCCAAATCCTACACAGAGCGCAGCAGGCTCCATCAGAAACTCCGGCCCTGATTTTCAGCAGGCAGCTCTGTGTGACCTCCTGAAGAGCTGCTCCTCAAGCAAAGACCTCACCCCACAGCTCACCTGCCAGGTACAGAATGTGAGAGTTCTTGTTATCGGGCACTTTATCCGATCGCTCGCAGGGCTGCATCCCCAGGAACTTCACGATATTACTAACTGCCTCTGTTAAGAAGTAGATAAAATAGGCTCCATGTTGCAGGTATCTTAACAGGGACACGCAGAGCACCCAAAGGTGACTAAAGCTCTCCCCATATGTTAGAGTTCATGTTGCTTGTCTTGAGGGACACTTGGCCAGGATTCTGTTTTTGGAGGTCACCAGGGAGGCAAAGGCAACACATAAAATACCCACCGCCACACGGCAGTTCTGTTATCTGATGCAGCAAAGGTGCAAAAGACAGAAGAGGGTGAATGAGTCAGACTACGGAAGTAGGGGAGTGCAGCTGGCTGCACACCTACTGCACAGCCCCGACAGCCTGCTTGCTTCTCTGGGGACAGATGCAGAAGGAAGGAGACATCATGCAGGAGACACAGGTCTTCAGGTGGAATTTGAAAAGGCCTCAGGGAGTGTGTTTCAAATCCTAAGGGGCTGGGCAAGGAAGCCCAGAGATGGCTATAGGACAAGGACACCCTTCTAAGCCATCAAAAGACTTTTTACAGGCTTCTCAGGAAAAATAAAAGGACTAATACAAAATGAAAGAGAAAAGGGCTTACAACATGAGCCTGCCCACCAACCTCATGTCTTCTGCTCTTTGCATCTTTTCTTACTGGTCTCAAGAAGGGAAGTGGGAGCTCACAGCTGAGCTATGGTCTGTCTGCTTGGGAGGGTAGGGTGCGAGAGCAAAGTGAGTTGTTGTCTTGCCTCCCACAACCCAGCCTGGTCTCCACAGGGCCCAGAATACTCATTTGGTTTTTTGAAACCTGGACGAACTTGTTATCACAGTAACTGTAGCTCCGTATTGAACAGCTGCAGTGAAATAGCTTGTGAGGGGTTTTGTGAGAGATCTAAAGTGAGCCAGACTGTGTGGCCGGACTCTGCCTGCTGGAGGGAATGTTAAGAGCTCTGCTGGGCTCAGACACCCCCTTACCTTCAAGGGTTTTAATAGCAGATAAAGTAAAGGTCTCTTCCTTTTCATACTCGTCACCCACTTCATCCCAGGCTGCTCCAAAGTTTGGCTTCAGAACCCGCTGAATGTGATCAGCCACTGTTACCTCCAGGTCTTCAAGCTGGCAGTAGAAGAGGTTCAAGTGAAACATGGTTGTTCTTAACCTGCTCTCTCCAGAGTGAACTTTAGACTGGATTTCCTGAGATGAGGTGAATGTAGGAGACAGCCTTCACTTCCCCTCATGGATGCATCAGAGCAAGCCCTGCCCCTTCTGGTTTGCTTGAGCAAACACAGCTTGGCTGAGCAACTGCTAGGGCTGGGAGAGCCACTGGCCAAGCCATTTCACAAAGCAGGTTCTGTTCTTAGCACAGCCCTCGGCCTGACAGAAGTCAAAGCACCAGACCAAGGTCCAAAACAGAGGACCAACCAAAACCTAAGAAAAAACTGCTTGTGCTCACACAGGTGCAGTATTTGCTTCCCCAGGGTGCACATAAGCTTCTATTTTGCCTTTCTGGCTTATTGTTTTGTAGGCTGGTAAAGTACAGTGCTATACCAGCAGATGCTTGCTATCACCTAGCGCTGCATGCTGGGTTAGCCAGACTGCTGCTGCGACTGTGTCTGTGCAAGGCAGAACCGGGCCTGTCCCCCCAGAGCACGTATCGAAGTGCAGTCAGTGCCAGAGCTGGCCAGACACCAGCCTGCATTCATTTCAGCCATCGTTGCAGGAAAGAGTCTCCTCCTGAGTCTAGTTGAAACACACAGAAGAGTTTGTTTAAATATCACTCAACTGCCCTGGGTGGGAAGCAGAGAGAGGGGTTAACCTTCCACGTTCCATTGAGAAAAACTCTCCCCACTCCTCCTGGGAGGATGCTACATCCTCAGTGACTCACTGCACAGCAGGGCCTCTTATCAGATTCACAGAAGTGACAGGCAACGCATAGAAAACAGCCTCTGGAGCTAACAGAGCAAGCTGAGGTGGTGTCACAACATCCCTTCCTCTGCGGAGGGTAAGCACCACCCTCTGCGAGCTAGTCTCAATTTCTGACCAAGCATTAAATTCAAGCTTCTTCCTCTGTGGTAAAACAGCCTGCCTGTAAATGGCAAAGCCTGGAAGAGAGGTGCTTCTGCAGCATCGGTGCTTTCATTGGTCTTGGTACTGTGGAGGGAAAAGCCCACCTTCCCCAGAGCAAGAAC